GCTTGCTGCCTTTTCAAAGGCAAATGCTGCAAGAATACAGCGGTTTTCCAACTCTACAAAAATCAAAAGGAGATAAATATTTACACATGCATACACACTGCAAAAATGTATTTTCCAAACCTAAATAAAAAGCTTCATGCTGTTCTGCTTAAAATGTTACTGTGAACATTTACAATTCATATATACATGAACTCTAATTAGCTTCATGGACTCTTGGGGCTTGGACTCTCAGGGCTTGAGTGTCTCTCGGCTGTTAAAGAGCTGTTCAGAATCACAGGCAGAAGGTTCCATTCCAGGCACAGTATGCATATATTACATATTTATTGTTCAAAATTTCCATTTAATCAAAGAAAGGCTTTAACCCATTGAATGACAGCCTCTCTCCTTCATGAATAAAATTGTCACATAAAGGGTTAAAATTCTGTTCAATGTAGAATATTTACAAGATGTAAAATATGCATGTAGTGTGACTGTTCAATTAAGCATGTCATGCAAGTCCATCAGTTAAATTTTACATGCAATCTTCTAATAAAATGACATTTTCCCAATAAATTTCAATATTAAAAGATATCGGTCTGTGATTGTTTTTGTCAGTTACATTTTGAAACTGGGCAATTTCACATGAGACATTGAAAATGGCAAAATTGCAAAATGCAACATTATGTGGTGCTAACCACATGTTTCCATAGTTAACACATTGGATTATCATAAATCAAACGATTTTTGAATTTTGGCCCATGCCCACTCTGCGGCAAACCGTCGAATCTGCACTTGTTTGTTGCTATTGTTCTGTGGATAAAGTGTGTTTATTTAAAATAATTATAACTCAGTCACTTTAACTTTGAAATAAGTTATATTTCTTAACAAACACAGTCTAAGGTTCACATATCATGATGACAATGTTAGATCAGACAATATCCAGTGTTGCTGTGATTTATGGTGCATCGAAGTTTGGGTAAGAGAAATGTAATGTCCGCAACAAAAAAACAATTCAATTTATTTTTCAGCCAAACGTCTAGCTCTTTTGACATTATATTTGTGCTGCTTTTTTAAAATGGTATTAACATTATTTTAGACTGGAAAAAGACAATAAAAAGTATTAACATGTCTTGAATAATGTGTTGCGGACATTACGTTGCAGACATTACATTTTTGAAATTGGAGAATTAGATGCTTATATAATTGTCTTGCTTGAATTCTATAGTTATTTTAAGCTTGATGACTTAAAAATAGAACATTAAAAGGACTATGGGACCCTTACTTTTTACTATAATCACTCCGTGCTGTATACACAATCACAGTGACACAATTCATCATGGAAAGTTTCCAAGTTACATATAATGCCACTACCGTATACTGCCATTGTACCATCAGTTTTGTAAGGCATATGTTGTTAAGAGCAAAATCATGTTTTAATTCATGTTTGTTTTGATCATCTTCCACTAAACCCAGGGGTGTTAATTATCCCCACCAAATGTAGTAAATGCAAAACTGTCAAATAGAATGGTCTACAAACATGACACTTTATTTGCTGCACAACCCGAGTCATTGCCTGAGTCTATGCGCAACAAATATTGCACTTTTGAAAGATATTATTGTCAACAGAAGATTATATACTGTAATATATGTGACCATGATTTCATCCCAGGATTTATGTTGGTATACACATGGGCGTATGGGAAGGAAAAAATTAGGGGGAAGGAAAGAAATTTGCCCTACTTTTTCGGATTGTGCCCGCGTTGTGAAATTTTTTTTTTCCGGAGATAGCATATTTCCCACAAAACCGACAGAATTCCCCACAAAATTGACAGAATTTGTCCCATTTATTTTTATAATAAGCGAATATTGCCCGACTGGCTTTGATAGCCCAACAAACTGGGGGGGGGCTGCCGCCCTCTAGCCCCCCCCCGCCTGGTACGCCCGGGCGTAATTAAGCTAGAATGCCTGTTATGTAGACTAGAAACATTGAAGTGCATAATCAGTCACCCAGTTTTGATTTCCTATTATTTTTAATATGAAATCAAAAATGTAATGTCCGCAACAGTTTCAGTGTAATGTCCGCAACACAAACTTTGCACTATAGAAGCTGCGCAAGGGCATTGTAGAACATCTCGTTTTCATATTTTTTAACCCCAAGTATCACTGAGAGCAGGCAGTGTTTTAGTTCCTGTGATACCTTTCAAAATTCACAGGAAATTACATTTTAAGAACATCACTTTAATGTGTGGTTGATTTTGCTGTAATGTCCGCAACAGTACTTTGACTTTTTATTACAAGAAGTGATTACGAGGGAATTTTGTTTTATTTTATGAAATATTAGAGGTCCCCTTAAGGTTTTCTATGACAAAGTTCCCAGATCTGAAACTGTTGCAAACAGGAAACAGAGCATGTTTTGTATTAATTGTTTTTCTGTGAATGTAATGTCCGCAACGTGAAATTGCCCAACTGTTTGCAAAGGTATGATGTTGATTTACTTTATTTGAAAATGTGCTGCTATTACACAACTCAGTCTGGCTGATTTGTTTTGGCAAGCATAGCCTGCCCATGAGCCCATCTAAAGAGACTCATAAGACATGTAAATAGACATTCGTCCAGGGAAAGCAAGCTATAGCCAAGTTACCTGGGCTGGCTCGCCTCTATATAAGCAGCCCCTTTCACATGTTTTAGGCTGACCGATAGGAGGGTTACAATAGGCATAGCAAGCACATGCAATGCATTTTGTAATATTGGGAGATGCCGAGATGGACTATTGCAACTGAGCACTGTCTATATGCCATTAATGTGACTGCATTTCAAACAAGTCACATACCATATAAAAGTACTGTATACATGTCAACATTATAGCAAATGATATTTTCTGTGCTGATGCAATGTACTCTGGTGAATATGATGCTTGTGATGTTACACTGAGTGTATATCCACCCCGAGCAAGCTTGAAAAATATGCCTGTCCATGGTGGGAATCAAACCTATATATATGACCTTTGGAATACTAGCCCAATGCTCTGCCAACTGAGCTATGTGGGCAGGTTGGTTCGAGCAAAGTCCTTAACTGTGATTCGAGTATGTGATATTTCAGAACAGAGTCTAGTTCTAAATCTGTCCACAGGTTTGATTCCCACCGTGGACAGGTGTATTTTTCAAGCTTGCCCGGTGTGTATATACAGTCACTCATCATGATATTTTCTGTGTTGATGCAATGTACTCAGGTGAATATATGCTTGTGATGTTACTCTGAGTCTCAGAGTAACATCACAAGCATATATTCACCTCAGTACATTGCATCAACACAGAAAATGTCATGATTACTAAATTACATTGGTATCAAAGGAAGTAGATTCTGTTCCGAAATATCACATGCTCGAACCGACTTGACCACGTAGCTCAGTTGGCAGAGCATTGGGCTAGTATTCCAAAGCTCGTAGGTTCGATTCCCACCGTGGACAGGCATATTTTTCAAGCATGCCCGGTGTGGATATACACTAGCTCAGAGTATTAAACATCACTGTAAGCATCTTTATAGCAAATATTTAACAGAAAATTACAACATACAAAAGCATATCACACAAATAAGGTATACGATTTTCTTAACAACACATATACGTGGAGACTGTAGATTAGACTTATAGACTTCTGCTAATAGAAATTAATCGAAAATTTACAACTGAACGTCCAGATGCCTTCAGTGAATCGGCGGCGAAGGGACTAATATAAAATACAGGCCTTCGATTTTAATAAAAACATAACTACAGTATGTCAAGTAACTATCCGCATACAAATGAGTAAATACACAATAGACATACCTTTCAAATTCCATGTATTTTACTAGGTCTTTCGAACTTTATAATAGAGAATTTGAATAAAAATCTTCTCCTTTGAATGCTTGCTCTCAAAAGATCGAACTTGGCGCTTGTTGTCAATGTGTCATACAGATTGAATTACTACAACACGTGATACATTCTAAGCATGTTAATTGGTTGAAAGTTTGGAACTTCCACTTGTTGAAAATTATATTCAGCAGAATTCAACAGCAAAACATTCCACAAGTCAGAGGAGGTTCGACAAGCAGACCGCAAAGCATCATGGGTTTGAGTGCCTAATTCCAGGCGTGGCTTCAATGGCTCTGTGACTGTCGTGGAGTGAACATCTCTCCGAGTAAACAAATATGGAAGCATTCGAAAGACAAGATTGTCAGGCTGCAATAGTTCGTGAAAATAACATGTTATTGCTGTATTGTTGCGATCCTCATTATGACTTGTGTTTTACTA